TGAACGTTTTATTATAGATACAAACCATTTATAATAGAGCAGGTTGATACCAGTCGCAAAATCTAAATCTGTTTGATTGCCTGGAGAACAGTATGCGCACAATATTAATACGTATTTTCAACATTTGTAAAAATATGTAAGAAATACATACAAGAACACCAAGATTGGGCATACATTATCCTCGTCACAAAGAATAGTAGAACGTATATATGTACAATCGACGGTAACATTTCAAACGGAACTGTTTTCAACGAAAGAACTGCACAAACTTCAAGAAACACGCTTTCAGTCTAGACCTTGGCTGGATCGTGTCGATACGTCATTCTGCATAAAGATTCGATTCCAACGTAATATATACCCGTTGTGTACACATACCACTTCCATATAAACCAGATAACTACGATCTACGATATATCGAATTACATGTTATTTATTGTTGAGTTGATCTCTCGCATAAATGTAAACATGGGAGCCACATTGTAGCTTTAATTTGCTTTTGCTATTTCCATACACTAGTCAAACTTTCAAAAATATTAATATGTATATAATTTTACATATAAAGAATTATAATGACAAAAAATAAATTATCTTAAACACACTTTTCTACGTCAGATATGTAGATGATATTGCATTAGCAGCTCCGAATTCTTGTTTAGATGAACTGATTACTATTTTCGACGGTTTTCACAATAGACTGAAATTTACAATGAAGGCTGAGAGAGATAGAAGGGAATGTATTCAACTTTTTGGAATTAAATTTAAAGAAACGACTATATATGTAATTTTTTATTAGTTTATATTTCTAATAAAAAATGATAAGAGGAAGAAAAATTAATTCTTTATATTAATTTTATTTATGATCAGTACATTCAGTTAATTTATGACAAACTGTGTAGATATATATATATAATTATATTAAGGTATCTCCAAACAATATGGCCAATGTATCGTCAACTTTGCATAGCATTTGTTAAATATTAGCCTACATTCAATATGGATAATTACGTATGTCATGTATGTATATGATATTTGTTAATGTCAGCATACGTTGGCCATATTGTCTGGAGGCGCCTTAATACATATACATACGATGCCATGAATGCAATTGCATAACCGCCTATAAGAATAAGGTAATAAAAGAATATTATTAAGAAATAGCAATAATAAAAAATGTAGAAATAAAACTTGAAGATACATATTATGATAAAATGTAAATATAAATAATAAGGACAAGACCCGGTTACGCGCTCGGTACGGAGATTTCAATCGTAAAAACGTAATTGTAATCACGGGAATGAGATCACGTATTGACAAAGCAAGAACATGAGGATAAAAACCGAGAGGAAAGATACAGGGAAAGATCACTCGATTAATTCACATAACACGATTACCTGTGATGGTTGTCAATTAAAAGTATTATGCTTCTGCTGTAAGAATAATTCTAACAAGAGAGAGTGTTGAAGTTAATTAAAGTTTATTAAATGTTTAAAAAAGATTTGATTCATTCCGAGTCCCCATGAATCTCGAATCCTGTACCAACCAAGGCACGACAGTATATTAAATATAGAATAGCAATTAAAAATATATATATTTTGATATGCACACACAATAAAAAAAATGTATTTCTGTTAAAAACGGTCCACTCACGTTTTATGTTAACAGTTTGTGCTGAATTTTTTAACATATTTGAGTGTTAATTTAACATAATGTGATTATGTTATTTAAAAGTTTTGTGTAAAATTAATATTTAATGTTTCTTAGTGTCAAAATGACACAATTTATGAGTAAGTGAACAAGTAACATAAAAATGTGTTTTAAAATTCTAAGATAAATGAATAAAATATGTGTTAATTTAACATATCATAAATGTTAATTTTCTAAAAAAAAAATGTCTCTACGGTTTCTTCACAAAACTGTGTCGATATTATCTTTCTTTATATTTATTCTCTTATATAATATTTGCGTTACCTTCTAAAATATTCATCTTGTATAAAATTAACTCAAAAATTTGAGTGAACCGATTGCGACATGCGGTTTATGTTAAATTCAACACATTTTTTCCAACTGTGTATATTATACGTTTTTATTATAGAAAATTACTTACTTTTATGTTAAGTTAAATTTTATCTTCGATAAAAACTTGCTGATGAAGAGTCTAAAGAGAGTTGAAACATCCAAGATTTATGAATAAAAAAGACATGACAGAACAATTGGAGTTAAGTTCATTTCAAATTAATTACCCCTCCTGCTGACTCTTCTTAGCCTTGTATTAATTTATTATCTATAGATATTTTTATTTTTCATGTAATAAAATTACATTTTTAAAAGATAACGGCATTATTAGGAAGATTGTTATATAAAATCAATTATTAATGTATGCAGAACAGAAAATAATTTATTATTATTTTTCATAACGCGATGTAAATTATTAACAAACTGTATCTAAAACGTAATATAAAACTTGTCTCCTTCTTAAGTTGTTGATTTCAACTCCCTTCCTTCTAATGATTGCCCCACCACACTTCCTAGTATAAGTATTTAATAATATTTTTCTACAGCCAATTCCTTATGTCATTTCTGCTATTAATTAACTAATTAACTAATTAATTAACTCTTGAATTAGAAAGTACAACTATACTTCCTAATTCAAGAGACTTCAAATGATCATAGTACCAGCATGTAGGTATAATTTTTAATTATAATTAATGTTAATGCGATCCGACAGATAAAGTAACACAACGATACGTATATGCGTTTTATTTGCAACCGACGTACGTATATTTCAAATTTTGACGCTCTGTAATAGAATAATTAATAATTTAAAATTGTTAATAACATACCGAAGATGACTCGATATAAAGATTTAAACGTTTATGTTTTTATTAGATGTGAAAAAAATTATCAGAAGTATTGTTTGCTCAAAAAAACGTTGTGATAATTTTCTTGTTCCTTATTAGATATTGTTAAAATGTAATTGCACATAGAATAATAGATCTAAATAATAATTTCTGATTCATTTCTTTAACAAGTTAATATTAATGGTTCCTTTTGATTTAAGGAGGCAAGATAGGTAACGAGGCCGAAAAAAGCAGATTTTTGAGATTTTTTTTCTCGGTTCTGAATAAATATAATTAGTTGTAAGTTTTTACATATAAAAGAGTTATTTTTAAAGTGTATTTCTGAATTTTTGTATGAAGAAATATTCCGCCGTATAGGTATCTGCCTCGAGTGCTTTCTACGACTTCGAACACTATTACGAAATAACCGGTATATCTCAGCGAGTTTTAGTCTGATCGACTTGAAATTTTCACAGGATATTCCTGAGATGTTGTACTTTCATATAAAAAATTATCAAAAAAAATGTTTTTTTCAAGTTGCTAACCTATCTTGCCCCCTTAATATGTCGAAAAAAATCGTATATGATAGCTTAAAGAATGATTCATTGCGTTTCTGTTGATGCTAATCATTACTTTAATTACTGATAAATACTCCGTCGTATAATCTTCTTTTTTATTATAGACATACTGATAAACTTAACGAATATCGTCGACCATATGTTAGATATTATATATGTATATTAATAACAGTATTATATAATATGTAGGAAGCTGTAAAAGCATAGAAACTCTAAAAAAATCTCGAAAAATATAAGTTTTATAGAAGTGTTCGGACAGAAGTTGTAGAGTTTAAAAAGATCTATTTATTAGTTTTATGCCCGTTTCTATCAATGTAGATTAACTTTAATCTCGGTTCAACTTACTCTTCACCTTTTTCTTATTCTTAAAACTAAAAAGGTGAAGAGTTAGCTGAACCGAGATTAAAGTTAAATTGCATTGGTAGAAACGGGCATTACCAATTTAACCTTGAATGGCGTCAGGTTAAGATCACCTTGAATTTTTTAAATGAAAACCCCCATTTTTCATTGCAAATTTTTATAGTTTATTACGAATGCTCATCAAAATAATATAATAAAATATATTTTAAGTATTTTTTGAGTTATAAGGTTTGAAAGTTACATTATCGTCGGCATTAGTATTATCTAAAGTATTCTATAATATCAATAATAAAGTAATTTATTATAGACCTATTTCTTAAATAATATATGAAACTATTATACTTCCAGATAAGTTGCGGATAACCTTATCTAGGAGATATCCACTGTATTCTGGGAGATATCTCTTGGATAAAAGTTATTTAGAGGTGAAGAAATTGGGCATTATTATATAAAATATACGGAATATAAAATAAATGTAAAGATATCAAGATCAATAAATAAGATATTAAGGTTCATGTAAGATTTTCAATTGACGATAAATATTAAATTGTTACGCAAATGTAGATATATTTATCGACGGTATTTTGTTTCAGTAATTTTATTGAATTATATTTCAACAATTTCAGTAATGTTAATTATTAATCCAATACAAGCAAAATTCCAATATAAGTCTGTAGCTAATTTCGTTTGGTAAGTACATTTTTATTGTTAGCGAATTATGTCTTAACTTTTGTAAAAACATAATTTATGCATTAACAATTGCGAAGGCTTGTATAAGCATTTTAATTGTATTAAAGTTACAAAATTAATTATTTTAATTAATTGTTAATATACGCAATGAGAATAATTACAAATCTATTACATATAACCTTGACTTCATTATAACTGCATATAATATTGTAATATGTACGTTCACGGATAATTTCTATTACAAAAATAATTTTTTTACAAATGTAATTTCTCTTATAAGTGAAAATTAGACCAATAAAATTAAATCAAATAAGAGAAAGAATCCTTTTTCGGTCAAAGCGAATCATGATAATAGTGTTTAGTAATCTCCGTATTTGTAAATAACATAATATTTTAGATAATATTAAAAAATTTGAAAATTATATTTAAAAATTTGTATATTATCGGATTTAAAACATAATCATGAAGTAACAGCAATAATATTACAAATTATATCGATCGTCAACTTAATAATGACGCTAAAATGCTCCTTAAAACATGCCAAAAAAGTGTAATTTTTTATAACAGTTATGTTATTACTATTTGAAATGTTTTTTAGGCTTAACTATCCATCACTATAAGATTTCAGCACAGGACATCTTTTCTACGTTGAATATTCAACCAGAATCCATTCTCCGGCATTATCATCAGATCTTTGCGAAATTTTACCGGCGATGTAGTTTTTGCAGAAGGTTTCAGCTCACATAGTGCTAATAAGTGAAACAGCAAGACCTTGACTGCCAGCATGGCAAATCTATTAGCTATGCACATTCTCGGTCCTAATCCGAATGGTATATAACATGAAGAATCGTGCATCTTGTTGTTTACAAATCTTTCTGGATCAAATTTCTCCGGATTATCATAATACTTTTCATCACGTTGAATTGCGAAAGCCGGAACCCAAACAGTCATACCCTTTTTCAGGATAACAGGTTTCTCGTCAGGCAGTGCGGATGGTAATTCATAAGCTTTTTCGCATATTCTTTCTAAAATAGGAAATGGGGGATATAATCTCAGAGCTTCGCTTATTACCGCATTTAAATATTCTAGCCGATTAATGGCTTCGTAAGAAACTTCTCCATTTGACTCCTTTAAAATGTTGTCGACTTCTTGTTGTAATTTGGTCTGAACGTCTGGGTTAGCTGCGATTTCGTGAGCTACGAAGGATATTGCAGTTGAACTGGTTTCAAAGCCTCCAAGGAAAAAAATAAACGCCTGCGCAGTCATGTCGTCGATGTCTAGTTCTCTGCGACCTTCTTTGCCTCTAATGTCCATCATTAATTGTAGCATATCTGGACGTGTAATGTGTTCTGCATCACGCGTAGCGATTGTAGTCCTTACAATGTTTTTGTAGAAATCCGACAAATAATCAGTTATAATTTTCAAATTTAAAATTTGCGAAAGTTTCGGAAAAGTTCTAAGAAGAAGAAACTTTAAGGCACGAATCCCTCTAAAGTTAGATATTTCCTTACCGTTAATGTAAAACTCGTTCGTTGGATCTTTCATAGAGTTTATTTTGATTCCAAAAGCACATGTGGCGATGACGTCGTTTGTATACTTAGAAAATGCATCTTTCATGTTTATACACCCTTTATCTGCTGGTAATGTCGTTATAAATTTTGCAAAATCCTGAGCACTTTCCGATATTAATGTGAACATCATTTTTATCTTGTTAGACGTAAAAGAGGGTGTCAATAGATTTCTTACATTCCGCCATTTTTCTCCACAAAGAGAAAATAAATTGTTCTTAAGTAAAGAGTCATTCGAACCAGAAAAATCCAAACGATTTGGAAATGATTCAAAATTCTTAACAAGGATATTCTTAATGAGTTCCGGATCGCGAAGCAGGAAGACTGGAGTTGTCATGAAGTAGAATCCATAATACTTTGCATTTGGATTAAAATTATATATCTTCAGAAGACAATCGACGAATGATGTTTGAAAAAACATAGATGATATCATGGCGCCGAATACTGGAACAGGCGGTATATGTATAATACCATGTCTTTTAAAGAAATTGAAATTTCTAAATAGATAATGAATGCTGATCACTATAAATAACAATATTGACCAATAATATTCCATATTACGTATTTGAAAATTTTAGTATAGTTCTTATGTAAATATGCGTCTTATAAAAGAAGTGATCGATTAAAGAGCACTTGCGATACTGCCGACCACTGACCAGTGTCCAGTGATACACATTGGCTCCCCGGTACCACGAAATCCAGCCCCACCACTTGTATCCCCACCAAACAGACACCTACCTAATATTGGTTTTGAATAATTTTTTACTCAAATACTATCAACTTTACAGAAAAACTGCAAGAGACAAAAATTATTTATTTTCTTCTCATAAAGTTTTG